TGGGGGGGGGGGTGAGCGAAAGTCTGTGGGAAGGAGCGAAGGTTTGCGACACTGGTGGCGGATGTGGTCTGAAAAGTGAAGCACATTCGTGATTGGAGAATGGGTTTTTGAACTATTTTTTTTTTGTGTGTGTTTCAACTCCCTGTTGCCTGCCGTTCTTTCCGTTGCTTCTACTTCCGTTGGTGGTGTTGCTGCTCCTGTTGCTGGTGTTCCTGTTGTTGCTAGCCGTGTTTGTGGGTCTGTTGCAATGATGTTCCCTGTTTGTCCTGTTGGTACTCGGGCTGCAACCCGTTGGTGCTTCACCTGTTGATATCTGTTGTTGACGATGGTGCCGCTGTTCCTGTTTGTTTATGGGGGGGTTCAGTTGCTGTTATGTCTGTTTGATAGACACGCATTCGTATCTATTAATTCCTGAATCACTAGGCCTATGCAAATACGTATTTAGCACGAGTAATTGTTGTAGTCTCTTCATGCAGGTCGGAGTTCAATCCCCCGACTGTCAAAGTATTTTGGGCATCATTCCTTCCCCCCCCCTCCCCGTCCCATCCCAAAATCCTTATATCCTGATCCCTTCCCAGTGCTATATAGTCGTGATATGGCTTGGCGCTTTCTCTTGATAAATCCCTTTCCCTTTTTATTGTCTATATTTAAGGGGAGATGTTCAATTGAACAATCTGTTTGTTCTGTTAGATAACGAGATGTTCTAGGCGTTGGTCTGCCCGTTATTCGCAAGGGATCTAGTGTTAATCCCAATTTGGATTTGGATTAATCCCAATGGATTTGGATTTATTTTTCAATGGGTTTTTCGTTAGGGATTTATCTTTATTCGTATGGAAGTTAATCGTATTGACATGGGATTTATTGTCATTAGGGAGTGTGTTTTATCTGTAAGGGATTTATACAAATCCTTACAGTGGTACCTGGATTGGGGTTCTGGGAGTTGTTCTACTCCCCCAGGAGTGAACAGGTGTGTTCTACTCCCCCAGGAGTGAACAGGTGTGTTCTACTCCCCCAGGAGTGAACAGGTGTGTTCTACTCCCCCAGGAGTGAACAGGTGTGTTCTACTCCCCCAGGAGTGAACAGGTGTGTTCTACCCCCTCAGGAGTGAACAGATGTGTTCTACCCTCCAGAAGTGAACAGGTGTGTTCTCCCCCCAGGAGTGAACAGATGTGTTCTCCCCTCCAGAAGTGAACAGGTGTGTTCTCCCCCCAGGAGTGAACAGGTGTGTTCTCCCCCAAGGAGTGAACAGGTGTGTTCTCCCCCAGGAGTGAACAGGTGTGTTCTCCCCCCAGGAGTGAACAGGTGTGTTCTACTCCCAGGAGTGAACAGGTGTGTTCTCCCCCCAGGAGTGAACAGGTGTGTTCTCCCCCCAGGAGTGAACAGGTGTGTTCTCCCCCCAGGAGTGAACAGGTGTGTTCTACTCCCAGGAGTGAACAGGTGTGTTCTACCCCCCAGGAGTGAACAGGTGTGTTCTACTCCCCCAGGAGTAAACAGGTGTGTTCTCCCCCCAGGAGTGAACAGGTGTGTTCTACTCCCAGGAGTGAACAGGTGTGTTCTACCCCCCCAGGAGTGAACAGGTGTAGACCAGTACAAGACCTGATAGCCTTGTACTAACCTGTTTCACCTGGTAGACCTGTTTCACCAAGATTCATCTTGGTGAATCGTGGTGAAACTTGGTGAGTCTTGGTGAAACTTGGTGAATCTTGGTGAAACTTGGTGAATCTTGGTGAATCTTGGTAACCTTGTAGACCTGTTTCACCAAGAAACTTGGTGAAACAAGTTACAACTGTGAGAATTCTTGCTGGAACAATAATGGTGAGGTAATCAAGCGGGCTGTGATGACTTGGTGGGCGGCTAGCGCACACAGCCTCGATGATCCAGCAATCACCGGAAGGCAAACACTTGAGTTCGACCACAGCCACCGCTGAGGTAAACACCGTCTTGGCTGTTACACACGAGGGTCAGTAATAGTGTATGTGTTGTCACTATACACCACAATCCCCTCCCTCTCTCTCTGTCTCTCTCTCTCTCTCTGTCTCTCTGTCTCTCTGTCTCTCTCTGTCTCTCTCTGTCTCTCTCTGTCTCTCTCTGTCTCTCTCTCTCTCTCTCTCTCTCTCTCTCTCCTCTCTCTCTCTCTCTCTCTCTCTCTCTCTCTCTCTCTCTCTCTCTCTCTCTCTCTCTCTCTCTCTCTCTCTCTCTCTCTCTCTCTCTCTCTCTCTCTCTCTCTCTCTCTCTCTCTCTCTCTCTCTCTCTCTCTCTCTCTCTCTCTCTCTCTCTCTCTCTCTCTCTCTCTCTCTCTCTCTCTCTCTCTCTCTCTCTCTCTCTCTCCCCCCCCCCCCCTCTCCCCCTCTCTCTCTCCCCCTCTCCCTCCCCCTCTCCCTCTTTCCCTCTCCACACGAGCCCTATTGTGCCCTCTAGTCTCCCTGTATTCACCATCTACACTATCTTTACTACAGACTATCCTTGTTACACCCCTATCATCACTACACACTATCCTCACTATTCCACCCCTTGTCCTTATAAGGGCATTAGATACCTCAAGCTTCGCTTTGAGCTGTCTCGCACAGCTTAAGAAAGAGGTATGTTCTCCAGCCATGTTCTCCAGACATGTTCTCCAGCCATGTTCTCCAGCCATGTTCTCCAAGAGGTGTTGAAGGCAGCTGATGGCTCATGCCGACCTCCTGAAACAATGTTTCACAGCTCTATACAGGCGTGAAGAATGGATGATCCATAAAGGAAAACGGATGTAAACACAGGCTATTTACAGGGGGGGGGGGGGGGTAACTGATATAATACTGTCGACACGCTGCTGAGGGGTAGTGGCACGGGGTGTCAAGGGTTGATTGACTAGTTCAGGGGTAGGAAAGAGCTCCCGGTGAGTAACTCAGTTGGGCAGTGATACGTGGGAATGTATTATACACACACACACTCTCTCTCTCTCTCTCTCTCTCTCTCCCTTTTTTTCTCTCTTTTTCCTCTTTCTTTCTCTCTCTCTCTCCCTCCTTCGATCCGGACAGGGGCACTCAGGGCAAGGGGCACTCAGGGCAAGGGGCACTCAGGGCAGGGGCACTCAGGGCAAGGGGCACTCAGGGCAAGGGGCACTCAGGGCAGGGCACTCAGGGCAAGGGGCACTCAGGGCAAGGGCACTCAGGGCAAGGGGCACTCAGGGCAAGGGGCACTCAGGGCAAGGGGCACTCAGGGCAAGGGGCACTCAGGGCAAGGGACACTCAGGGCAAGGGGCACTCAGGGCAAGGGGCACTCAGGGCAAGGGACACTCAGGGCAAGGGACACTCAGGGCAAGGGACACTCAGGGCAAGGGGCACTCAGGGCAAGGGGCACTCAGGGCAAGGGGCACTCAGGGCAAGGGGCACTCAGGGCAAGGGACACTCAGGGCAAGGGACACTCAGGGCAAGGGGCACTCAGGGCAAGGGGCACTCAGGGCAAGGGGCACTCAGGGCAAGGGGCACTCAGGGCAAGGGACACTCAGGGCAAGGGACACTCAGGGCACACTCAGGGCAAGGGACACTCAGGGCAAGGGACACTCAGGGCAGGGGCACTCAGGGCAAGGGGCACTCAGGGCAAGGGCACTCAGGGCAAGGGGCACTCAGGGCAAGGGGCACTCAGGGCAAGGGGCACTCAGGGCAAGGGACACTCAGGGCAAGGGACACTCAGGGCAAGGGGCACTCAGGGCAAGGGGCACTCAGGGCAAGGGACACTCAGGCAAGGGGCACTCAGGGCAAGGGGCACTCAGGGCAAGGGACACTCAGGGCAAGGGACACTCAGGGCAGGGGCACTCAGGGCAAGGGCACTCAGGGCAAGGGCACTCAGGGCAAGGGGCACTCAGGGCAAGGGACTCAGGGCAAGGGACACTCAGGGCAAGGGGCACTCAGGGCAAGGGACACTCAGGGCAAGGGACACTCAGGGCAAGGGACACTCAGGGCAAGGGGCACTCAGGGCAAGGGACACTCAGGGCAAGGGGCACTCAGGGCAAGGGACACTCAGGGCAAGGGACACTCAGGGCAAGGGACACTCAGGGCAAGGGGCACTCAGGGCAAGGGACACTCAGGGCAGGGGCATTTCACTCTGGTCCGGCAAACTGATATTTCAGCTTTACCGGTTGATTGATTTTATTGAAAAATGATCCAATAGTTGCACGATTGGGCTGTTGCTATCGTTAGTGGAGATGGGGCTGTTGCTATCGTTAGTGGAGATGGGGCTGTTGCTATCGTTAGTGGAGATGGGGCTGTTGCTATCGTTAGTGGAGATGGGGCTGTTGCTATCGTTAGTGGAGATGGGGCTGTTGCTATCGTTAGTGGAGATTGGGGCTGTTGCTATCGTTAGTGGAGATGGGGCTGTTGCTATCGTTAGTGGAGATTGGGGCTGTTGCTATCGTTAGTGGAGATTGGGCTGTTGCTATCGTTAGTGGAGATTGGGGCTGTTGCTATCGTTAGTGGAGATGGGGCTGTTGCTATCGTTAGTGGAGATGGGGGCTGTTGCTATCGTTAGTGGAGATGGGGCTGTTGCTATCGTTAGTGGAGATGGGGCTGTTGCTATCGTTAGTGTAGATGGGACTGTTGCTATCGTTAGTGTAGATGAGGCTGTTGCTATCGTTAGTGGAGATGGGACTGTTGCTATCGTTAGTGGAGATTGGGGCTGTTGCTATCGTTAGTGGAGATGGGGCTGTTGCTATCGTTAGTGGAGATGGGGCTGTTGCTATCGTTAGGGAGATGGGGGCTGTTGCTATCGTTAGTGGAGATGGGGCTGTTGCTATCGTTAGTGGAGATTGGGGCTGTTGCTATCGTTAGTGGAGATGGGGCTGTTGCTATCGTTAGTGGAGATGGGGGCTGTTGCTATCGTTAGTGGAGATGGGGCTGTTGCTATCGTTAGTGGAGATGGTTCTGTTGCTATCGTTAGTGGAGATGGTTCTGTTGCTATCGTTAGTGTAGATGGGACTGTTGCTATCGTTAGTGTAGATGAGGCTGTTGCTATCGTTAGTGGAGATGGGACTGTTGCTATCGTTAGTGGAGATTGGGGCTGTTGCTATCGTTAGTGGAGATGGGGCTGTTGCTATCGTTAGTGGAGATGGGGCTGTTGCTATCGTTAGTGGAGATGGGGCTGTTGCTATCGTTAGTGTAGATGGGACTGTTGCTATCGTTAGTGTAGATGAGGCTGTTGCTATCGTTAGTGGAGATGGGACTGTTGCTATCGTTAGTGGAGATGGGACTGTTGCTATCGTTAGTGGAGATGGGACTGTTGCTATCGTTAGTGTAGATGAGGCTGTTGCTATCGTTAGTGGAGATGGGACTGTTGCTATCGTTAGTGTAGATGAGGCTGTTGCTATCGTTAGTGGAGATGGGGCTGTTGCTATCGTTAGTGGAGATGGGGCTGTTGCTATCGTTAGTGGAGATGGGGCTGTTGCTATCGTTAGTGTAGATGGGGCTGTTGCTATCGTTAGTGTAGATGAGGCTGTGCTATCGTTAGTGGAGATGGGGCTGTTGCTATCGTTAGTGGAGATGGGGCTGGGCTATCGTTAGTGGAGATGGGGCTGTTGCTATCGTTAGTGGAGATGGGCTGTTGCTATCGTTAATGGAGATGGGGCTGTTGCTATCGTTAGTGGAGATGGGGCTGTTGCTATCGTTAGTGGAGATGGGGCTGTTGCTCGTTAGTGGAGATGGGGCTGTTGCTATCGTTAGTGGAGATGGGGCTGTTGCTATCGTTAGTGGAGATGGGGCTGTTGCTATCGTTAGTAGCTGGCTAGATGGGGCTGTTGCTATCGTTAGTGGAGATGGGGCTGTTGCTATCGTGCTAGTGGAGATGGGGCTGTTGCTATCGTTAGTGGAGATGGTCCACCAGGCTGTTGCTATCGATGCAGAGACACAGAGATGCCAGACTGTGCTATGAGAGATACATCATAAGGAATGGCATAGAAAGGAATGACACGCGATGCTTCAGTAATTAATACGAAGTAACCCGTAGCATGATTTAACGCGACGGCTTCGCTATCGTCCTATTCAATTAGTCTGCTCGGAGTTTAACGATATCCTTTACTCAGGTTTAACGAGTCCTTCCCCCCCCCACACCCTCGTTTAATTCATGTTTATATCCATTATTAGGTTTTATTTAGGTTTGTAAAGGTATATATATATATATATATATATATATATATATATATATATATATATATAGATATATATATATATATATATTCATATATATATTATTAAATATGACCCGAAAAAGTAAGATTAATAATTCTAACACGAATTTTCTCAATCTTTCGTACATTACGCTTCACTGTTGGAGGTAAATCAAAAATCACTTCTCCAAAATTCATTTTTATTTTTAGTCTGACGCGACACGGGCGCGTTTCGTAAAACTTATTACATTTCAAAGACTTCACAAATACACAACTGATTAGAACTTGCGTTTCCCTGATTTTATATCTACATTTGAGTGAGGTGGGAAGGGTGATGTGGCATTACATTTGAGTGAGGTGGGAGGGTGATGTGGCATTAACACAAGACAGAACACTAGGGGATATTAATAGGGTATTAAAAGTATCAACACAAGACAGAACAGAAACAATGGGTATTGAATAGAAGTGTTTGTAGAAAGCCTATTGGTCCATATTTCTTGATGCTTCTATATTGGAGCGGAGTCTTGAGGTGGGTAGAATTTACCAGCCTGCACAACTAGACTCCGACCCTCCAATATAGAAGCATCAAGAAATATGGACCAATAGGCTTTCTACAAACACTTCTATTCAATACCCATTGTTTCTGTTCTGTCTTGTGTTGATACTTTTAAATACCCTATTAATATCCCCTAGTGTTCTGTCTTGTGTTAATGCCACATCACCCTTCCCACCTCACTCAATGTAATGCCACATCACCCTTCCCACCTCACTCAAATGTAGATATAAAATCAGGGAACGCAAGTTCTAATCAGTTGTGTATTTGTGAAGTCGTTTGAAAATGTAATAAGTTTTACGAAACGCGCCCGTGTCGCGTCAGACTAAAAATAAAAATGAATTTTGGAGAAGTGATTTTTGATTTACCTCCAACAGTGAAGCGTAATGTACGAAAGATTGAGAAAATTCGTGTTAGAATTATTAATCTTACTTTTTCGGGTCATATTTAATAATATATGTCTACAGGAAAGACTGCTACCAAAATATACTACTATATAATATATATATATATATATATATATATATTATAATAATATATATTATATATATATATATATATTTAGTATGCTGCTGTCGCTGCATACTCAGGTATGGTCTCACATATGTAGTACGTGTGGATTTGAAAGCCTCTCTCTCTTTAGAATTTGGTGGGTGCGTTAATGTGGTTCGTTAACTGGAGCTAACGTCAGCAGGCTGTTTGGTGGGTTTCTCACGTGGAATTGTTTTGATTGGCTGGTTGATGTATGCTGAGTCACGTGGTCTATGCCTCGCCCCGGGGGGGGGGGGTGAGGGGGGTTATCCTTTGTTTAGAAGAGGAAGGGAGAGAGGGAGGGTGGGGGAGAGAGAGATGGAGGGAAGGGAGGAGAGAGAGGGAGGAAGGGAGGAGAGAGGGAGAGAGAGGGAGGGAGGGAGGGAGAGGGAGAGCGAAGGGAAGGAGGGAGAGGGAGAGAGAGGGGGGAAGGGAGGGGAGAAGAGGAGGGAGGGCGAGGAGAGGGAGGGAGAGAGAGGAGGGAGAGAGAGGGAGGGAGAGAGAGGGGAGGGAGAGAGAGGGAGAAGAGAGTGGAGAGGGAGGGGAGGAGAGAGAGTGAGGGGAGGGAGAGAGGAGGGAAGAGGGAGTGGGGGAGAGAGAGAGGTGAGAGGAGAGAGGAGAGGGAGAGCAGAGAGAGGGAGAGAGAGAGACCGGAGAGAGAGAGAGAGAGAGAGAGAGAGAGAGGAGAGAGAGAGAGAGAGAGATCAGAGAGACAGAGAGACAGAGAGACAGAGAGAGATACAGAGAGACAAAGAGACAGAGAGAGAGAGACGACACAGACAGACAGAGAGACAGACAGACAGAACACCAGAGACAGAGAGAGCAGAGAGAGAGACAGTAGACAGAGACAGAGAGAGAGAGAGAGAGAGGAGAGAGAGAGAGCGGAGAGAGAGAGACAGAGAGAGAGACAGAGAGAGAGACAGAGACAGAGAGAGAGACGAGAGAGAGACAGAAGAGAGAGACAGAGAGAGAGACAGAGAGAGAGACAGAGAAGAGCCAGAGAGAGAGACAGCAGACAGAGAGAGAGACAGAGACAGAGAGAGAGAGCGAGAGGCAGAGAGAGAGACAGAGAGAGAGACAGAGAGAGAGACAGAGACAGAGAGAGAGACAGAGAGAGAGAGAGAGAGACAGAGACAGAGACAGAGAGAGAGACAGAGAGAGAGAGAGAGAGAGAGAGAGAGAGAGAGACAGACAGAAGAAGTCCAGATAATACTTCTTGGTAAAAGTACATAAGAATATTTAGTCTAATACAATTGAGGCCATTGGCTACCAATGGTGTCTTAAACTACCCGAACCCAACCTACCAAAGGATCCACGAACAGAAAACGGGACATCACTGTAACTTTTGGGCCTAAGGGAATTTATACGGCAGAATGCGATTTATTATTTAGAACTGGTTGGGGATTCACAGGTCAGATTGCGCGAGTGGCATGTATAACAGCCTGGTTGATCAGATCGTTATCAACCAAAAAGCCTGGTCAGAGACCGGGCCTCGGGAACATTGATCCTCGGAAACACGTAATGTGGGTCCAGGAATGTTAGGCCCCGGTGTGTAGGTCCCAGGTGTGGAGGGGGTGTGGCCCCAGGTGTGGAGGGGGGGGTGTGGGGGGGGGTTGTGACGTGTAATGTTGGGGGTGTGTGGGGGGAGGGGGGGGGTAGGGGCAGGTCAGGGTTCAGCCCACCTTGCTTGACCACACCCCCTTCCTGTTTGCCGGGGCTTTACCTTAACCGGTTTCAAGAGTGGTTTCTCTTTCATCGGCAAAATAAATCATTTTTGTTTGTTTCACTGTTTACGGCCAATTCTCTCTGGGATTGGTGAAGAGTTGGCTAAATTGGGGGACCAGCCTAATTGGTCATGAAGTCTATAAGAATATAGCGGAAGTCCTATTAACCTCGTAGGGGCCTCGTAGCCTGATGGATAGCGCGCAGGACTCGTAATTCTGTGGCGCGGGTTCGATTCCCGCACGAGGCAGAAACAAATGGGCAAGTTTCTTTCACCCTGAATGCCCCTGTTACCTAGCAGTAAATAGGTACCTGGGTGTTAGTCAGCTGTCACGGGCTGCTTCCTGGGGGTGGAGGCCTGGTCGAGGACCGGGCCGCGGGGACACTAAAGCCCCGAAATCATCTCAAGATAACCTATTCGAGGCAGGTCATATATTTATGTCTCCCTATCTCTTGGTTTCGTGAATCAGTGTTCCTGCGGCCCGGTCTTAGAGCAGGCTGCTAGATGCCGCTACTCGCAGTCTGACGTAGGAATCATAGACCAGTTGATCAAGTATCCTTTGGAGGTGCTTTATCAAGTTGTCTTCTGAACACCTGCTCCCCAAGGCTGGCTTAAGGCGTAGAAGAACTCCCAGAACCCCATCAAGCAGGTATGTGGGCCTGCGGGCCGCTCCAAGCAACAGCCTGTTGGAGCAAGCTCTCACAAGCCAGGCTTGGGGAGTAGAAGAACTCCCAGAACCCCATCAAGTAAGTGTTCAAAAGTCTTTAGGTCGATGTTGATAGAATTGTCTCATGACGTACTTATTACACCTCTGCTCTGCAACGGGGCTATTTTGCACTTCCTGCCATACCTCGTGATGTCTCGTGGAGTTAATCCGTGTGCAGATTTGGGACCAGCCCCCCTCTAATATTTTCCAAGTATAAATTTGTATGCATCTCTCCCGCCTGGGCTCTGAAGAAGACAGGGGCCAGATTCACGAAAGCACTTACGCAAACACTTTCGTGTTTGCGTAAGTGAAAGAATTGCGTGAAAGCAATTACGCAAGTACTTACGAACCTGTACATCTTTTCTCAATCTTTGGCGGCTTTGTTTACAATTATTAAACAGTTAATGAGCTCCGAAGCACCAGGAGGCTGTTTATAACAATAAACAACAGTTGATTAGCAAGTTTTCATGCTTGTAAACTGTTTAATAAATGTAACCAAAGCCGTCAAAGATTGAGGAAAGGTGTACACGTTCGTAAGTGCTTGCGTAACTGCTTCGTGAATCTGGCCCCAGTACCCCAGGCACAAGGTAGGTGTCGGCCGGCGCTGATGTTGACAAGCGTGACATATTCTACACAGTTCAGACTTGTAGTGCTTGTGCGTTTGGGCGAGTTGAAATGTTGCAATGTTTGTGGTCGTGTTAACTGGGAATGTGGTGGAGTCGGCGAGCAGTGGTGGTGCTCTGCTTTGGAAAGGCTGAGTGGATTGGAGTGGGTTTGGGTGTGTGGGTTGTGTGTGTGTGCTCCTCTCTCTGTGACTACGGGGGAGTGAGGCCTGGTTCTCCAGAGACTTGGGGAAGCAGGTCCCTGGTTCTGTCAATATCTGTG